TTGGATTTCTCTTAGTCCGGAATAGGTAAGTATTAAAACATATAATTAAAATGTGAGAAAGAAAGATTTTTTCTTTTTATATCTATTTAAAACGTACCTAGCGACGAACCCGAGCGAAGCGAGGGTGAGCCGCTAGTAATTTAATATATGTAAGTAAAACACCTGCAAAAATTGTCAATTTTATATTTTTTATTATTAGTTTAATAATATAATAATAATAATAAAGACGCAGGGCAGCTTGTGGCGAGCTATTAATGAGTGGCAACACCACGGACATGAGACGGGAGACCTTCCGGGGGGAACACCATCTGTTCCCCGCCGCCTTCATTGACCGTCCAGACAACAAACCTAACCTAACTTCTCGACCCCCTTAGCCGACGACTTCGATGTTGCGCCTAAGGCACTATGCCGCTTTGTGGGGACCCATCTAGTGGGGGGCGAGTCACCGTATGCCTAAGGTTCAATGTTGAGACTTTTGAAAAGTGGATGTCCGGTAATCACACCCAATAGCCCAGTTTTGCAGCCCATCCAAACTCCATTCTATAAACCCAATTAGTTTTTCATGTTTTCCATAGTCCATACGCATTATCCGCTGACTATCTTTGATCAATTCCCTATAGGTTACTCAGAAATAGATCCCGGCTTATTAAATTTTGGAGATTTAAAGTTTGTTTAATACGTCACATTAAAAAAACTTTAAATCTCTTAAGGGGTCTCTACGTGTCAAACATTTTATCCTATGCAAGCCTTACAAAGGACCTCCTCCTCTCCCTCTCCCTCCTTGCTCCTTCGAGTTCGTGAAATTCACAGAGATACAAATAATAATATTTAAAAAATGCAAATAAACCAATGTAAAAATTGTATGACATTTGTAAAAGTTACTAATATGGTCTAATGTGGTAAAACTTCATTGAAAAGCTGCAAGTTGCACCGATAACGCTTCTGCATCAACGCATCGTTTCAGACGGTAGTCAGCACTCGCCCCCTTATACCATATAATATGATGCAACATTTAAGTTACTTACTTTTAATAGGGTAGCTAAATGTGTCAAAGTATAATTAGGACAAGTAGTCATGTTGAGACTTGTCGTATGGCTGCTATTGATTGATTGAATAGTTATGCTGAAATAGAAATAAGCTAATAAGATATTTTTGTGGTATAATTTTTCGAAACAATTATCCTTTGATAAATTTCAGAATATATTTGCAGTATACAGCTGAAAGTAAATAATTGAGAGAAATAAGATGAAATATAGGGAAAACAAAAAGCTTGATATATTTCAATCGCATTGATTTTCAAGTTAAAAATATGTATGATCCAGGTGAAAACCGGATGCCTGGTTACCCTGCGTGACTTGTGTCTATACTATACTCGTATTAGCTGGCGACTGACGTCGCTGATCGCTCATTCCGATTTTAACCGGCGGTTTGGCTGGTTGTGCCTTACGCGTTATTTATAAAAACACGTGGCTGGGTGAAATATTCGTAACGTACATAGCTTCTCCATGACAAACAAAACGGCTATTAGTAAAATTGTGCGAAGTTAATAAATAAGGTAAGTGTTGGAGTTAGTTGACTAAATAATGTTTTATACCGACTTGTACCTACATTTTATTGATAAACTTGCAGTTTTGTCTACAACTACACACACGCAAGTCGAAATTATCACGACACTCAGTTGTACGTTAGTTGTAAATGTTTAATTAATTGATATCGACACTAATTTACCTACAATGGAAATATTGGTCAGCCATAATAATGTGAACGCAATATTACAACTTCTTTGTACTACCTACTTTATTATATTAACTGTTGTGATTAATTGTATAAATAGAGTGTATAATGTGTCAGAAAAACTAAAACTATCATTTCTTATTCAAAAAAAACCATCTGTATTGTCATCAGTTTTATTTTACTAGCGACTCACCCTCTCCGCTCGGATTCGTCCCTAGCTTGATTCTCCATACAAACTTTCATGCCCATTTTCACCCCCTTACGGGATTATTTCCAGGATAAAAGGTATCTTATGTTCTTTTTCAGGGTCTCAAATTAACTTCTTACCAAATTTCATCTAAATCGGTTGAGTAGATCCAGAGATTACCCCCTACATGTCACAAGCTCACAAACTTTACCTCTTTTTAATATTAGTATAGATATGTATATAACTTTTAATCTTGGGACAGATCGCGTCTTATTACTTCTTAGCTTTTGCTTAAGTTATATAACTATAACTAACTTATAGTAACGCCATTGTGTAATAATATATACATCTATAAAGGCTCCTCATAATAACATTTTTTTGCTATAAGAAAATTATCTACAAAGTACTAAGGATTACCCAGACATGGCTGCAGTTTAGTATATGGGACGCGGCCCCTGGAGGAGTGTGTGGTATTTTTGGATAGGGGAGATGATAGAGAGGCCAAATGTATAAAAAATAATTTTGAGGAAATAAGAGTCAAAAGTTATTGAGACTTTTGAGAGGCGAAACATGCCTGAGCTCTAAGACAGAGCTAAAAAAAAGGGAGCGAAGATACGTACAAGACACATGTCCTACTGATAGGGTCAATGATGCTAGATAAACTTATACATTTACAGTGAAATCAATGCCAACTACAACTGTACACATTTTCGAGTAAAATGTTAAAAATTGTAAATGTTGATTGAAATCGAGCGATAACTATTTAGAATGCAAATGAATCATCTTAATCAATTTTTTAAAAGATAAATTTTTCTACTATTTTTAAATAGATAAATATTTTCAATCAAATAATATCTTATCTTATAAATATATATATATATATATATATATATATAAATGAATAGCTAAGTGTGTTGCTAAGCGCAAAACTCAAGAACGGCTGGACCACCTTATAATGATATTTTTTGATTTTTTTTTAAATTTGTTGAAGTTCGAGGAAGGATTGGCGTCCTTTTTTGTGCGGACATAGTTGGAGGGCTTAAAAATGACATGGGCTAATTTGTACCGCGGGCGATCATCTCCTTTCCATTGAAAAACACGTTATAATACAACCAAAGAAACAAAAATCGATTTGTGTTTCATCAGCGGTGTCAGGCTTATTATCATATAATCAAGTTAAATTATCTTACCAAGGTAAATGGTAAGGTTTTTAAACGTGTATATTATATATATATTACATATATATATATATATACTAGCGGCTCACCCTCGCTTCGCTCGGGTTCGCCTCTAGAAAAACACTAATAAAAATCTATTAGTTCCCACGGGAACCGTTCATTTTTCCCGGATGAAAAGTAACCGGTTGTTTGACCGGCAATATAAGGTATCAGAATGTTAAATTTTACTAAACTAGGTGCATAAGTTGTATAAGTTATAATAGTTTTTTAACTATCCCACGGGAACCATTATATTTTCTGGGATAAAAAATATCTAAGACGTTGTCCGGGGATATAAGGTACCACCATGCAAAATTTCATTTAAATCGGTCCAATAGATTCGGAGATTAGCCCGTACAAACAGACAAACAGACAAACAATATCACACGGGAACGCAGTCGAACGGGATAAAAAGTATACTATGTCCGTCTCTGGGTTCTAAGCTACCTCCCCGCCAATTTTCAGCGAAATCGGTTTAGCCGTTCTGGAGTTATAAATAGTGTAACTAACACGACTTTCTTTTATATATATAAGATATATATATACATATATATATATATATATATATATATATATGTGTGTACTAAATGTATAATCTAAAAATTCAATTTTTTAAATAGTGATGTTCTTTTTCAATAAAAATTACCTTTTGCGTTACTTTTTGGGTTAATCTATACGTATACACTAACCTAATAGTGCCTTATATGTTAATGGTATTTTTATTACTTACAATAACAACATATAACAACCATTTAAAACCTGTTTGTAAGCCAGCAAAATTACACTAAGTATTTTACTGTTAAAGGTTTCTGGCTTTTCAAATGTTAGGTTTGGTATGACTATGAATATTTAATGCATTTATAATGAATTAAAGAAAAGGATATCTTTAAATTTAATACTACGCTCTCCGAATTCTGATTTAATGAAAATATATATGTATGTGCAAAATGCTAATAGGTTTACTTCAATGAAAGTTCCTATATTTATTATGCAGACAATTTGGCATTTACATAAAAACATTTCAATTATCAATTTTATTGAAATGTGTCTGCAAGTCTCATTCGTTCTTTTTCACAAAGGTTATTTTTACAAATATAAAAGGTAAAAATATATTGTCAGGTCAGGTCGTACAGGTCTTAATAAATCAAAATCTACACAGGCCCGGCACAAGGTCGCTAGTCAAAGTTCGAACCGCGCAAGAAACTCTTGTGACTGTCGCTCTTCCAGAGCCATCGGTTATGGCTTGCTCCTCAAAGCGCTATAGGAGCAATAGGATACGCCATAAGTTCACCTCGTATCCCCCGATGATGCTGTCTTCGCTAGTAGGACCAAACAGTATTATACAATTCAAAAAAGAAAGATTTGCTATACCACTACTATTTACTGTAATATAAAAAGTTAGAAGCTAAATCAATTAATGTAATTTTTTACTTTTAAACAATCCCTAATAATGAGTCTATTTAACTTTCAGCAAATCCAAAGATTAAATAATAGGATAAATCAATACTAATAATATATTTGTCGACATTGACATAAGAATAGACATCTTGTGTACGTAAGTCGAACTTAAGAGATAATGTAAAACAGTGGGCAAAATCTTTACATTCATTCCTAAGCGTAACCACTATAACACAAATCAACAAAATACTGCCTACATGTTAACTTTTTATTGAATAATGATACTGTATTTTTGAATTTCCTAGAATAACACAATGTGAAAAACAATCATAATTGAGATTTGAGAAAAAAAATATTTCAAGCACAGCTCTATTCTTGCAACTCTATTGAAAATAGGTAAAAATATTTGCCACTTCTTATTCAATTGAATGGTAATGTCATTTAATTAAATAAGTCAAGTTTAAATGCTAATTATTCTTATTTTAATACAACTTATTATTTGCATCGCATTTCGCGTCGCGTCCATCGAGGCATCACCACGGCGCTCTGCACTCGGCCCCCTACTCTTGCGATCTGACGCAACAATCGGAGTCACTTACTTGCGCCTTGCGTATTTTGGCTGCCATCGGGCATCGCTCATTCTGATTTTAACCAGCGCGTTGGCTGGTTGCGCGCCTCGCTCTATTTATAAAACACGTGGCTTTGTGAATTGTTCGTGTCATAACCTCTACACCACCGAACTGTACGGTTGGCAGCTGCTGGTCTAACGTTACGAAGTGAGGTACGTGCGCGTGTCACTATTTATTAAATTTTTGACACACTTTAAAAGTATCGTGGACTATATTTTATGTTGACATAATTTATTTACATATACATAATAGAACGCGGTCGTGAAAGATCGCTGAAAGCTCAAGTTCAAAATAATTTTAATAATATGCGTTACCGTCTGCAATCTTATTTGGGAATTATTTAAAAATATGTTACAAATAATGGATCTTGATGCACATTTAACAGCTGCCACCTGTATTTTATTTTATATATAAACTTATTTTTAATGGAAAATTTACCACGTGAATATTAGGATTAGGTAGACATAATATTTTTGCAAGACTCGGAGTGTTTTATCCTGTAACTACAAAAAAGTTCTATGTACAATAAGGATGCATGTACATCCTAATCAACTAAAAAAAAATTAAAATTTTAAATGATCACTCGAATCGATCACTTGTGAAATACCGTTATACCAGCTGGGGCTGGCAATGTCTGACAGCATGTAAAAACTATTTCTTTTTTGTTTGCCATTGTTGTACAAGTACAATTGCAGTATATTTGCTTAAGCTGACAAGTAGACCCTTAGGTACTTTATTCCACAGCCTGCTTTTTACCTCTATTAGAACTTATAAAGTTTGATCCCAAGACAACTGTAATTCATACAATCGAGACTGATGCAATCATTCATGCATGCACATAGAACGCACTAAGTTTTGTATATACATTAAAGATAATTTACTTATGCAACAATGATTAGAGATTAACCCTTATGTTTTTAGCCATACAGGCTGAGGTCGATGACTTCCGACTTTCTCGTACGACTCATTTCGACTAAGTGTCTACACTACTTTTATTGATCCGTTTTACTAACTGACAAATTAATGGTTAAACTCCATGGGGTAAATTATAAAAGGAATTAATGATAAGTAGTCTCAGTACAGTATTTGGTAAAGAATGAAACGTCTTGAAGAAAGAAGGCTCTTCTCGGTTCTACGTGCAACGTTGCGGATTATATGCGTTTGAAATCTATAAATTGCTTATATGGTATTATTATATCAATAAAATTAATATATGTTTCTAATATAATGTTATTACTTTTGTAATGTTAGAAAATTCGCTTAGGGTATGTTGGAGATTGTGCGAATGTGTATAGGTATAATATATTTAAGACGCATGTTCTAACTGCGACTTATAAATATACTAGCATTGCCCGCGGCTCCGCCCGCGTTCAAATGACCAAAAACCAAATTCTTAGGTTTTACATATAAATATACTCTTACATTGTAGTTTTTGTATTTTTTCTCAGAAATGAGATATTTTCCCGCGGTAAAAAGTAACCTCGGATAACCAGCTATCATCATACCAAATTTCATCAAAATCTGCCCAGTGGGTTTCTCATGATGCGGTAACAGACAGACAGACAAAAATTCTAAAAACTATAGATTCGGCCTCTGTATCGATAATAATGTCTATTTCAATAAGATTTTCCAAAAAATATTTAATATACAGATTCGGCTTAGTTACAATTTTATTATATGTATAGATTGTATTATAATTCACGTCATTTTAGTATTTTTAAAGATGAATAAAGCCTAATTTATACACAGGCAATCTTTCAATTTCAACATATATGTAAACAATAAATATATATTATTATGCTACGATCATAAAAATATGATTTTCTATTTATATTCATGAAATATTTGAACAAGAAAATAATTACTAGATCGATAAATTAAAAAATTAGACCAGGACATTTTATTAAAATTACTCACAATTATTAACATAAATAATTAACATATTTATTGTTACATGACTATTGATTAAAACTATTATTTTATTATTTAATTGTTTCTAATTTTAAATCAAGTTGACTTACAGGAATTCAACTTATAAACGCTGGATGGCCTTCCATCATGCGTTTATCAATAACTTAAACAGTATAACACGCGTGCTATAAACCTGCCTACGCCATTAGTTTTTCCGCGTCATCAACACCTTGTCGAATTGCCTTGCCACGTTACTACTTTTATTGATTTAATCGTCATAAAGTAAGATAAAATTTTCACGATCGATAGTGTAGTAGACTTGCAAAATATCCATACTTACTTAATATTATGAATGTGAAAGTGTGTGTGTTTGTTTGTCTGTCCTTTTTTCACGTCGAAACGGATTGACGGATTAGCGTATTTTTTTGTTTGGGGATAGTTGAAGGGCTGGAGAGTGACATAGGCTACATTATACCGAGGGAAATTATCTAATTTCCACAGGAAAACACATTATAATACAATCCAAAAAACAGAATTACTTGAAACTTGGTATTAATGCTCTTTAATAAACATTTTATAATTATAACCCAAAAAAAATATAACAGTAAATTAAAAAATAATAATAATCGTAATTACCTATAGGTCACGTAATGTGAATGAATTATTCGCCCGATTAGCGTTGGATAAAAGTTGCAAATTATGTGTCAAAAAATGATAGCAGAAAAAAATTACATATTATAGGTACCTACATATAATGTAATTTTTTCTGCTAATATCTAACTATAAACTAACCATAATGATTTTATGGAGAACTATACTATCTAAATTCTAAGAAATTACTTTCCTTCGTGCTTAATAGATACAATTAAAATGACAATGTTCCATGTTCATCCGGGTCATGCCGCATGCGTGTGCACGTTACTGACGTTGCATTTGATTTTGAAGTGGCTTCTCTTTTTGATATGTAAATAATCGGCGGCACGTGGTATTTACGTTTAACAAAAGCGACGATTTTATATATATACAATGTTAAGATAATAAATATTCTAACTTGTCGGTCATAAATAGCTGACCTTAAACCTAATCCTAAACTATCATCTCCACGGAGGCATTACACACATTTTTATCTATAATTCAATGATTTCTGAAAACTATCGTATATCAGATGAAATAGAGATTAAAACCAGTCAAGTGCGAGTCGGAGTCGCACTCGAACGGTTCCGTGCCATAACCGTTTTTTTTTTCATTTTCATGGCAGCCATTTTGAAATTTGAAATTTGCTACCTTGGATGTTTATTATTTGTTGTTATAGCGGCAGTATAAATAAGTACACACTCTGTGAAAATTTCACCTCTACCTACCTATTACGGTTCATGATATACGGCCCGCTGACAGACAGACGGACGGACAGCGAAGGCGTAGTAAAAATTGCTACGATTGCACCGTTACGTTACGTTACGTTACGATTGACTTTAGATAAATATGAGCCTGAGTGTCACGCTACATGTTATCCGATACATTAAGTGGTACCGTAAGATACTCGTATTAGCAGATTTGTTGCATAAAGTTACTTAGATACAAACGTAGTAAGGACTTCAGCGATATAAAGATTTTCTAACGATAACAATTTCATAAACATAATCTATACAGTATATAATTATATCTATTAATTTACCTACTGCTCTTAAGACGTCTCACAAATATAAAATCAAGTAATTATAAAAGGTGCAGTGTTAAGATATGTATTTATATACTTAGTAATATACTACGTAATTAGTGAATATTTTTTCATAATATATATCTACATATACCTATTAAGTACCTAACGACATATTTTTACTATGAAATGTTTGTTTTGATATACATATATTAAAAAAAATTATAGCAAATAGCAATAGACTATAAACCTTTGTTTGTAAATGTAACGAATTGACTGAATTTAAAAAAAAATGAACAAGCTCACACAATGGACTATTGAATATAATATTAATGAAAAATAGTAGATTTAAAAAAAATGTACATAATAAAATAATACCATTAACATTATGAAGTTATAATTACAAAGGTATTAGTCGTTACAGTGTATGCGCAAAATTATATTTTTACATAGTTGCTAAAACTAATTTATGTCAAGCCAAAAATACTGTGTCGTTTTAGCGATCTTTCACTAATATGACCTACATAACTGTCGCTACACCGGTGACTTCCTTACCTCTATTCATTACATTATCAAATACATCGTCTACACTTATAAGACCTATAACCTACTGTTAAAGAATCGCATAATATGCATTCGAAATGATAAGAAAGCTATTTTTACTGATACTGAATACGTTCCATGACATTTTTAACAACGTTTGTAAAAAAAATTTACATTCTACGTAAAGTTAAATATTAAATGTGAAATGTTTAGGTTTGTAAGAAACAAACTAAACTATTTCTGAAAAATCTTTTAGTAATCAAAGATATACCTACCAGTACCTATTATTCCTTCTTACGGGGATGTGAATTATGTGAATACAAACAATGAAATGGGTACTGACAAAAAAAACATTGTCTGAAATATTTTCATAATATTCATATTCTATCTTGTATGAACACTTTTAGAATCTTTTTACCCAACTGCGCAACGTAAAGAAGGGTAATGTGTTTATTAGTCTATGCATGTATGTATGTTTGTTGCTTAAGGCGTTCTACAGACCAAACGCCGATTTTGATGATTCTAGATTCGTCTTGATAACGCTAGTGTCACGGTTATATAAAAATAGTTAAAAATTAAAAAGGCGGATTTTAAGCGCCAATTTGTGTCTTTAAAAAAATCTTCCAAACAAATCGAGTGGGGTATCAAAATAAAGATTTTTATGAGGCGATCACAAAATATGTATATAGCACTTAAATGTTTAAAAGTAGTTTAGGATAAAAAAAATGCAAAATATAACTTCAAATGTTTAATTGGCAAAGACTAAAAAGCTGTAAATAAGAAAATCTATACATATAATAAAATTGTAACTAAGCCGAATCTGTACATTAGAATTTTTTTGGAAAATCTTATTGAAATAAACGTTATTATCGATACAGAGGCCGAATCTATTGTTTTTAGAATTTTTGTCTGTCTGTTACCGCATCACAGAAAAACTACTGAAGAAATTTTTATGATATTTGGTATGGTGATAGCTGGGTTATCCGGATCAACATATAGGATACTTTTTACCGCGGGAAAATATCTCATTTCTGAGAAAGA